TTTGATTTTTTTTTCTTGGTTCCAGGGATCGAATTTATGACCTCACACTTACCATATAAGCCCCTCAGCCACTGAGCTAAATCCCCAGACTTTACCTCTTAATTTTGCTGTAAAAACGTTTTCTATCAAATGCGATCCAAGGCAACCCACTAAGGACCACTCCTGTCTCTCAAGAACCATTTTTATTGTCCAGCACATTTTTCTACTTTTAGCCTTCTTGTTTCTCAGAATCCATGCTTTGATTCTAGAGAACACAAACTTAGTATATCAGACACCTGGCAGGTAGGGAGTTACATTTATTTCCCCTATGTCAAAAGAACTACAGGAATTAGGAGGAGGGGAGTCAAATTTCAAAAATGGAGAGAAACAAAGTGTGGAAGATAGATCCAAAACATGAGGTTAAGTATTTTAGAGTTGAAAATTAGGGGCTGGGGATTTAGCTCAGCGGCATAAGCACTTGCCTTGCAAGCAGGCGGTCGTGAGTTTGATCCCCGGTACCGATAAAAAGGAAAATGACCAAAAAAAAAGAAAGAAAATTAAGTACAATTTTATTAAAATACTTATATTACAAAAAGATATGATTATGAGTAAAAAAAAGTCAAAAGCTCTAGAAAAAAATGAAAAGAAAAAAACTCACACTGAAATGGAACATTGCAGGGCAAAGCCGAAAGGCGCCATTGTTACTGTTAGGGAAAAGAAGAAACAGAGATAGGAGCTCAACAGGCCAGGTTTATTGCAGGATGAACATGATGGGTGGGGGAGCTCTGGTGCTGGAGGCCTGGCCAGCAACTCTCCCGGGGCTCTGGGGTCTTTCAAAGGATCTTGGTGGGGGTGGGGAGTTCTGTGACAGGGGTTTGTGGCTGTTTGCCAGAAGCCAGGCTTGAGAGAGCAGGAGCGATAAGATAAGACTTGGGAAAGGGCAGGGAGTCACGTCGACATCAGTAGCAGGGCTGATAATGTTGAGTTCCCTGACGCAGCTGTGCTGGGAGGGGTGGCTTAGAGGGGTCTCTGAGCAGGACGGTGGATTCCGCCCGTAATGAGCACCATATGTGGTATCTTGTAATGGAAAGGGACATTAGAGAAACACTGAGACATGGACGTTAGTAGAGGCCCTGCATGGTGGTGCACGTCTGTAGTCCCAGCACTCTGATTTGAGGCAGGTGGGTGACCTGGGCTACATAAGCGAGTTCAAGACCAGCCTGCACTACACAGGGAGATCCTGCCTCAAAAAATAAATAAATAAATAAAATATATATATGCACATATACATTAATGAACATCAATAAATACAAGTATGTACCCAGTTTTTACTCCCAGGTGAAGATCAGTGATAACACTCATGCAGTTTTGTGCTTTTAGTGTGTGGCAGGCCCTGTTTTAAATAAGTATATGAAATGCTTTAATTGTCAAGTTATTGTATGAGATAAAAACAGTCCTTTAAAGTTAAGAAACTTGCCCAAGGTGACAGTGAAGACCATCATCAAAGTTACAACCTTCAGGGAGCCTCTGTCCCACCACATGTTTTTATTACTGTATTGTAATAGCCCCTACCTTCCTTCCTCCCTCCCTTCTTCCCTTCTTTCCCGCCTCCCTCCCTTCCTTCCTTCCTTTCTTTCTCTATTTTGAGTCAGGGTCTCCTTTATAGTTCCTGCTTGCCTTGAACGCATTGTGTAGCCCAGGCTGGCTGTGAATTTGAGGTGATCTTTGTGATTAAACTTTTCCAGTGCAGGGATTATAAGCATGTGCCACCAAGCCTGGTATAGAGAGGTGTTTTCAATGTAAAAATAAACATGGAAATAATATATCTTCCTAGGTTTGGTTTCACATTTGATTTTTCTCTTAGCTCTCAAGATCACAGTCAACATTCCATGCTACTTAATACAAATATGTAAAGAAAATGGACCATTAGAAATTACAGTGTTTTTCTGCATCAAAAACTAATGAATATTGACTTTTATTGAGAAGCTTGGATTTAACTCAGAGATCTCTTTAGCTAGGGAAAAACTCTACCACTAAGTCATGCTCCCCTCACAGATAGCCAGTTTTACATAGGTTAGTATAATAGCTCAATGAATGCATAAGAAATACTTGATTCTATTATTTATACATTATGAAGTTTTTAGCCTTTCTTTGTAAAATATCACCGCATAATCCATTATGATAAAAATCAGTGTGAAGTTTCTGCACCATTGTTTGAATACAGACTATTCAGAAACGGAGTAATCCCTTATAGGAGGGTTAAGGCAGGAGTGTTCCCCTTCTTATCTCCATATAATTCCAGTCCCAAGCCAGGACTTCGATATGCGCTGCTGAGAAAGAACAACGGTATGCAAAGCATTATGCAAAAGTCACTTCAGAATATTTTTTTAGCCTGTGTTTTTCCAAGCAATGTGAGAACATGTACATTGTGGAGGTGTATCTATAGACAGATTTTTATTAGTAAAAAATATACTACTTATTTATTGGAATTGTTTGAAAGTGCTTATTTCCTCCCTTCCAGCTATAATTATTGATTGGAAAAGTTTAAATGTATTTAAATAGAATAGGAAACATAGCTCTCAATTTTAGATTTTAGGTAAGTATCTAAATTCATACTGTTTCAATGCTCACTTCTGCAGCACATATACTAAATTCATGTTTTTTCAAATCATTTTTATTTATTTGGTATCAAGAATCAAACTCGGGACTCTGGGCTTGCCACACAGGCATTTGTGCCACTGAGCTATATACCTGGCCCCATTTTTTCAAATCATGATTCACAACTTTCTCAATTGATTCTACAGTCTGTCTCTAAAATATAAGTTATATTTTGACCTGGGAGAGAACATAAAAATTTACCTACATCTAGAAAGTTAAAATGGAAACTAATTGTTGCAAATTTGAACAATGTAACTTTTTTTAGAGTTAGATTTTCTTCTAAATCGGATATAGAGCATTGGTATATTAATATTGGCTGTAGTTTTGACAAGTTTTACTTTTCCATACATTCTGTTTTTTTTGAGACAGGGTCTTGCTACGCAGTTCAAACTGTCTTTGAATTAACTATGCAGCCAGGCTCCTAAACTCTATTTGTCTCTTCTTCCTAAGTGCTGAGATTACAAGCATGAACCATTACTACCTGACTCCAAACTATTTTTTTGGTAGCACACAGACAATTTTAGAAAGCTCAGTAAGGAAGGTCATTATTTATATCAAACATACTGCATTTTATTATGTATATACTGTATACATGAAAATTTTAGTTTATCTCTTAAAATCTCAGTATGTTATATACTATGAAAAATTTGGCACTGATGTCTGCACAATTTTTTGAAAACAGGATCTTTGGAAACTGAGCAACATCTAAAGGTGGGCAGGAAAAGATGGATGTAAATCATGAGTATTTAACCATTGTCACATGCAAGCCTTTCTTGGGAAGAAATACAAAGGATTATTTCCTACTATTTAGAGTTTAAAGTGGTTACATGTATCTACTAACCTCAGGGTGCCATGCCCTGTCCCCAGGGCATTCATGTCATTTAACCGTAAAATCTGCAGCATGGAGGCCAAGGTTCCTCAAGCTAATGATTTGTGCATGCTCAGAAGCCTAAAGATGGAGAATTTCAAACTCAAACCTAGCTTGTGCAATCTCCCGGTTGCTTCCACCGAGTTCCAATTAGAGCAATGCAGTGTTTTTTCACTACTACTGTATCCAAAGACGCTAAGGACTGTCACCCTCTGTATGGTGATCTGGAAAACCAATTGCTTTAAATGAAAAGGACTATATGGGCGCCAGATGTTAGAAGAGGAATGTGCTGCGATCTTTATCAAAGGAAAGAGAAAACAATTCATCATAAAAAAGAGGCGAGTGGGCGGGAGCGGCGGGGGTGGGGTGTGCCGGGGGCGCATGCGCCGCGGGCTCTGCAGTGCGGCAGTGCGTCATCGGCTGAGCCCCGCGGGGCTATATACCTGGCGTCTCGGCGCGAGGAGCGGGCAGAGGCGAGATGGAGCGAGCCAGGTGCGTGCGGAGTTCCTAGCTTGCAGTGCATCTGGTACGATTGGCGCCTTGGGTGAACTGCGAACACGGCTGCGAGGCCTCTATTCTGCAATACCGGTTCTGATCTTGGAGGAATCGTGCCGTCTCTTGCCGCGCTATCGCGGCCGCAGTCGCTTGCCGCGCTATCGCGGCCGCAGTCGCTTGCCGCGCTATCGCGGCCGCAATCGCAGCCGCAGTCGCAGCCGCACATGCGGCCGCATCCGCCTCATGCGGCACGTGAGTGGACTGTCGCGGCAGTTCTGGCTGCCGTGGATCTTTGTCCTCCCATCGGAAGTAGTCTCTGGCTGAGGCGGGTGAGGGGCTGGGGGGAGGTGTGGAGGAAGGCGTCCACGTTGGGTATGGGGTTGATGGAGGGCGTCCTGGGTACCAGCATCTCCAGGACCGGGGGTGGGGGGCATCGGTAGAGTCCACAGCACTCCCGGGTCTAAGATTCGGTGGACGCCAGAGTCCGCGGTGGGCGGTAGAGTCCCTGTGGCTGAGGGACCACGGATGCAGTCTCCTTAACTTGGCCTGTGGGCGTGAAGACCCTGGCGTGGCTTGGGCACAGCAGTTGATCACGGGATGGGGTTTAGGGCCCCAGGTGTGTGTCACAGATGGGTGGCGAGATCTTGAGTGCGTGGGCGGCAGGGGGCAGGCAGAGGCGTCGAGTGCCGCCACGAGGCAGGCGCAGGGCGGGGGTGGGGTGAGGGCGCTGCTGAAGGGGAGGGGCTGCATGGAGCGGCCTGGCGTGCAGGCTGGGGCGTTTCCGGCCAGCTCGAGCGGCAGCGCCATGTGCCTGCCTTAGTCCTCCTGGTTCTGTGCGCTGCCTCCCTACTGAAATGATGTAGAAAGGACGGGTTCGGTTCCTGCTTTGTATTTTATTGCTGGGGGGTCGCTATCCTTGGGGGCTGTTGCATAAGATGGGGTCTAGGCTGATGCCCAGGATGGTCGCCTTTCTCCCCCATTGTTTTCTGGAGCTCGGAGTGACGTCACTGGCTGCCGCCTCAGGCTGGCGCGGGTTGCATCTGCGTCAGCGCCATTGTGCGCCTCCCCCAAGATGGCGGCTGCTGCAGTGGCACTTCTACGCGCAGGCGCAGTAAAGCCCTCCCCAGGATCCAGGGTAGTGGACGCAGCGTTCGCAGGTCTGTGTTTTTAATCTGCTCATATTCTAGCCATACCCTGTTGTGTTGGCAGTGATCAGGAGAATGCATTGCTGAGATGGGTACTGTGACTCCAAAGCGCTGCAGGGGTAAGGATTGAAGTACGCAGGCACAGCGGGGGTGACGGCCACCTATGCCTGAAGCTGTGTGCTAGTGGGGGGCTGCCTTGGAGGCGGGGTGGAGGCGGGGTGGGGCAGGGCAGGGGAAGCATCCCTTACGCTGGGCTATGGGCGGCACACCTTGCTTTCCCCTTCCCTAACATGTTACCTGAGCATCAGCCTTTCCCTACAGTGCCGCAGTGGAGAGAAGACCGAATCCTAATGAGGGAGAGACCAGGGTTTGTGTGTACCACCACCTGAACAGCAATGGCATCTACCTTGTTACCTGCAGTTTTGTGGTTTCTGTCGTGGAGGGGTTTTGGTCCCCTTGTGCAGCTTCAGGCTCTCATCATCACTTGTTGGTATTTTAAAGGAGTTTCCAATGCGATCCATTCATTTTGAAGTGTTTTTGTTTATTGTGCGCAGTTGAATTAACATTGAAGCATTTTTAGAAACCCTTCATGCAGCTTCCCCTGCCATATGTGGCCTCTGACATGCATTAATTTATGTTTCATGGAATATTATAGTATCATTAACCTCTTAATGTCCCATTCGGTCTCTGCCACTCAGGTAATTTTGTTGTAATATGGAGGTACAAGGTGAAATCACCACCATGTTGAGGGCCATGCCCATGACTGACTATGCTGGATTCTAGGAACTCGCTGTTTTTTGTTTAGGAGACAGAAAAGCCACAAAAGTTCAAAAAATCTTACTGGTCTGTGTGTATGCTTAGGGTATTTTCAGGATTATTGCTTTTATTTGAATTTTTCTGTTTTTTGAGATGGTCTGGCTTTATACCCATGGCAGTTTTCCTGTGCGAGTCTCCTGAGTGCTGAGATGAACAGGTGTGCGCCACCATGTCAGGCTTTTTACTTGAATTTTTAAATTAATGCTTTTTTAAAAAATTAATGCTTGTGATCATTATTGTTGTATATGATGATTTTAGAACATTGGACATTAATATTAAAACTTGGAAATTATAGAAAAATTTTCACAAGTTATTTTTTATTTTTTGTATTTCCTTAAGTCTCAGTTATTTTAATTTCTGGTCTGATCTTTAAATTTCCTTCTTTCTTTGGACTTTGGGACAATCAGTAAGATTTTTCAAATAGAAATTTCAATGATATTTACATTAAGTTTGATCTTTGAGGGCAGTACCAGTTTCTAGTTTCTAGTGAAAGTGATGGTAACCTCCAGACTGTCTTCCTTATGTGAACTGAAAAAAAGTAGTCTCCAAATCCAAGACCAGGCATTGGAAACGGATGATAATGATTTAGGAAGTCAGTCATTTTATACTCTAGTTTTTTTTTCCCTGTATCTTTTTATTTTACCGTTTAATACAGGCTGCCTGTAGTTTAGGATAGTTTTGGGCATGAGCTTCCTTAACGTGGGAGGAGGGGGGCGCACTTAGACTCCTGGAACCACAGTCATTTGCTGCCACCTACAGCCCAAACACTGACATTGCACCATTGTTGCCTTAAGGTGGATTTACGTTAATTATTTTGCTTTTTCGTTTGCAGGGTATTCATGTACTTGCCTTTTTTTAAAATGTACTTTTTAATCTAAATTACGCTGTATGTTTACAGAATTTATAGTGTTACCTTGTTCTCCCCTTTAATCTAACCAGTAATTTTTTTTGATAATACTTCTCACTATGTCTGTACTGTGCTGTCTTTCTCTGTTTCTTTTTGGTTTCCAAGAAATTCATTTTTGTTTCTAGGAAATTTTGCGTTGATGTAATGGCTTCTAAATTAACTTTTTGTCTTTATATTCACTTAGGTAGCACTCTTTGGATTTTAAGAATTACAGTACTAGCAATGCTGGTGGGCCATTAGTGTAATATTACCGTCCCTCTACATAATGGGGCATTGTGATCATTATGTTTTGCTCATGTTTAAAATTTTTGTGATGTGCCAGAGGCCACACAGAAAATGCCTTTTAGCATTTTCTCGTCTTTTGGGACTCTAGTGGTTTAAAGCGGTATCTACTGTGATATTAACTTGAATTTATTCAATGATTAATATTTTTTAAATTTTTTTTCTCAAGATGACCATTTGTGTATCGTTTTTGGGTCAATGTCTTTGCGCATTTTAAAAGAATTGTTTCTTTATTGTTGAATTGACAGTACCCTTACTCAGGTAGTGTACAGTTGTAATTCCTGCACTTAAGAGGCTGAAGCAGGAATGCCTTGTGCACTCCAAAAAGATCATTTGTTTTTTTTATTAGCAATTTTGCAGTATTTAATGATTAAATTTATTGCTTTTTTAATCTCCTGCCACTTCTGTTTTTTTTGTTTGATTTTAGTTTAATGTTTTCTCTTTTCTTGCCCCTTGCAGTCTGTTCCTTTCGGATTTTGACCCCTTTCCATTTTCAAAAGCTCTGTCTAGTTCCATCACGTTTGAGGGGCAGCGCACGCAGCCCTGCGCAGTGCCGCAGTGCGGCGCATGCGCGGAGCGCTCTGCAGTGCGGCAGTGCGGCCGGCGCGGCGCGTGGGCGGCGCAGAGCTGGCGGTGGCGCCTGGCTGGTGCAGTGCGGAGCTGGCAGCGGCGGCGGCGTGATGGAGCGAGCCAGGTGCGCGCGGGTGGGGTCTGCAGCGCCGGCCGCGTTGCAGGACGTGATGCGTTGGGTGAATTCGAACCTAGATGCGAGGCCTTCACTTTCGCAGAACCGGGTCTCCCCCTTGAGGGTTGAGCCAGTGCTGTGCGGGCTCCAGTGTCCTTGCCGCATCGTGCTGCGGCCAGATCTCAAGCTTCAGCAGCAGACCTTGGTGCTTGTGGACCTTTGTCCTCCAGCCCGAGGTGGTTTGTGCAGGCCAGGCAGGTGTGGGATCCAGATGAGGGTCCAAGGGAGTTGTGTAGGGTGGGTACAGGGTGCTAGAACGTGGGAATCACGGATGAACAGGTTCCCAGGACACATGGGTGGTGGGTGGTGGGTACAGGGTCCCCACGACAGGCGAGGACTGTATAGGTGCAGGTTCCTAACACTGGAGTGAGTGTGTGGGCACGAAGTATTCCCTGAGATTTTGGGGGTTTCAAGTAAAAGGGTCTCAGTTTGGGACTTGGAGTCAGTGTGGCAGACCTGAAGGGCTCATCAGATTGAGCTGATGAGCTCAGCTTTGTCGCAGGGGTAAAGGGACTGGCTGGGGAGTGGGTTCTGATGTTAGTGCGTGGTGCTGCTGCAGGGGTGGCCACTCCCTCAGTGGGCGGGGCCGAGATGACTGACAGGCCTGCTCCGCCCACGGAGTGCCGCAGTGGCTGCGCGCTGCGCAGGTGCACAATCCTGGTGGCCACTTGTGGCTCAGGTCTGAGATGGTGGGGTGGGGGTTTCCCCTCCAGGGTAGTGGCTGCTGCAGGCCTCAGCCCTCATAGTTTGATGAGGAGCAGAAGCAGAAAGGTGGGGGAGCCAGGGTGTGTCTACTTTCAGCACAGCAGGGCCCTGTACCTGGTTTTCTGTTCCATGGTTATTGTCCGTTGGAGGGTTACAGGTCTTCAGGAGTCCGGAGGGAGTTGGTACGTATATTATATTGGCATTATATTAAGTGTCATATTAAATGTCACTTCACAGTTCTTTCTCCCCTTGCCCTTGTCTCCCGCCCCTCCCCTTCCCGTCCTCACACCTTCCCGCCCCTCCTCGCCTCGCCCTTTCCCCTCCTCGCCCCTCCTTCTCGCCTCCCATCTCCGCCCTTCCCCTAGCCTCCTCACCCCTCCCCTTCTTGCCTTCCCTCCCCTTGCCTCTCCGCCCCTCTCCTTCCCTCCTAGCCCCTCCCCTTCTTGCCTTCCCTCCCCTTGCCTCTCCGCCCCTCTCCTTCCCTCCTCGCCCCTCCCCTTCTTGCCTTCCCTCCTCGCCCCTCCCCTTCCCTCCTCGCCCCTCCCCTTCTTGCCTTCCCTCCTCGCCCCTTCCCTCCTCCGCCTCCCCTTCTTGCCTTCCCTCCCCTTCCCTCCTCGCCCCTCCCTTCCCTTCCTCTTGCCGCCCCTCCCCTTGCCTCCCCTCCTCCTCTCCCTACTGCCCCCCCCATTTCCCACCTTTATTGAGGCAGTGACAAGAGCCACATTGGTTAATTTTCATAGTTAGAATTGAGGTGAAAAATTGAAGCAGAAAAAATAAAGTCTTTTTATCTGTTGTTGTTCATTTATTGTAGGCAGTATATCTGGTTTTCCTGAGATGCACTAAAAGAAAAAGTAAATATTTCTAGACATCAGGAGAAGCTTTGAGTTTTATTTTTCATAGTTTTTTCATCATTTGTGTCTCATTGGCTTCAAATTCAGTCATTCTTGTCCCTCAGCCTACCAATTTCCAGTAGTTTGAAAAACTGCAAAACTGTTTTGGGCAGCCCAGAGGGTTAAACCCAGGCATATGCTCTAAGGTACGGCTCACCCTTTTTTTTTCTCAAACTAGTCTGGAAATTGGCATCTCCTGCTTCAGCCCCCCTAGTAGTTTTGATTACTGGCCTGTCCAGTAGCCCCTCTCTTGGGCAGGATTCTGGAGTTTTTATTTACTATTTATCATTTAACAGGTTTTTTCCAACCTGTATGGTGAAATTATTGATGATTTAACCATTTTGGTTTGGTTTCTGATCTTTTGATTATCTACAAGTCGTTGACTCTGTTGTGCCCTTTTGTAATCAGTATGAACAGGCTGAGGATCCCAGAATGGCTGTCTCCTATTTAGAAAGGTCCCCCTCATCGTGTTTAAGGCCTCACCAGTTTCCATGTCTTGGTACCCAGAGTGAATAATTGGCCCAGTACTAGGTGTCTTTCCAGGCAAGGTTTGGCCACTCCTGAGTCAGGATGAAGTTTAGTGCTTTAGGCTTAAAGTCCCAGTGTTACCTTGTGTGGCTTGGCCTGGGCACTAAATTTACAGTGTTTGCTTGTCCTCCCCTCTAATCTGTTCAGTTTCATTAACTGCCCCATTTACATTTTTATTATACCTCTTTTTGCTGTTCTAATATGTTTGTTCTCCAATTTCACATTTAAGTCATAATGGCTCCTAAGTTAATCTGTTTGATTTGTCATTATGCTCACTTAGTTTTAGGAAGAATACTGGGTGCAGGTTGCACCCCTCACCATGAGAAGTCAGGAAAGTGTTCATTCTTGTTTGCTGCATGCGGATGATGCCTGCCCTTGTTCCTTTCTTGGTTCAGAGCCAGGAAGCTTGAATGTGGGTTTTTACAGGCAGCCTCCTAAGCTGATAAGGTAGGACATACATGGAAGTTGCCTTTTTCTCTTAACAGTTCTTAGATGCTAGCTGGAGATGTAGCTCATTGCAAAGCCCATGAGTTCTATCTTCAGTACCACAAGCAAAACAAATTTTAAAATATGTAAAAAAATCCCATTGGTATATGTACAAATATATATGTTTGAGTCAAAAGGTCACGTGTATGTCATTAGACTATTCAAACATTTCTTAAGCAATGAAACAATGCTGGGGGTTATTTGAAGGCTATTTGATTACCTTAAAATTTATCATTAGTTTTATAAACAGCTAGTGTTTAGAGAAGTGACATTTGGGAAGTTTTTGATTCTCCCCCTTTACCATATTATTGCTTACATGGTTTGTTAAAGGTCTATAATGTGCCCCTTCTGGTGTATTTCTGAATTACATTGCCAGGTACTCAGCACTGGCTGGATTGTGGAGTAGTGAGAATAAATAGCTTAACTTGGGTGTGTCTGTAAATGGGTCCTGCGGTGCCCAACATAGCTGCCACTGAGCACTCTGGGAGTTTAGCAGGGCAGCCATTTTGTGGAGTGTGGTGCAAACCTCAACATGGAGGTGTCTCCCGTGCATGCATGATTGGAGTTTTGTGTTTAAAATCAGGCCCTTTCTGTCTTGCTTTGTCAGTCTGATGGCACAAGATAGGTATTTTGCTGTGTGATCTTTGTTGTATTCCACTATAAAATTTATTAAAGTATGATCTCAAAATATTTTCACAAATGTTTTGAAAAGTTTGAAGTGTAAAGATATTTTAATAGTTTAATTTTACTTAGTTTTGATTGTAGAGTCTTTGAAAAACGCACTATGTTCTAGTAAGTTCTAAATAAAACATGTAAGTCATTTCATAAACTAGTGAAGTCCTTCAGAAAGCTATTTTTTTAATTCAGGGATCGCTTACACCTGAGAAGAACTACAGAGCAGCACGTGCCGGAGGTGGAAGTCCAAGTTAAACGCAGAAGAACAGCTTCCTTGAGCAACCAAGAGTGAGTGTGATCGGCGTCCAGAGATGATGTACTTGGACCCCACAGTGTTGTGCAATGAAAAGATGAAAATGCACTTAGTTAGTGGAAGCAGCGCATTGTGAAACACAGATTGTTTATTTGCGTTTTGAGCCCTAAGGGTCTCCATGTAATTAGGCTGGCCTTGAGCTCACAGTGGTCCTCCCTGCCTCTGCCTCTTAGGCTGAAATTTTAGGCAGATGCCACCATGTATTAAAAGGAGGATCCCAGTATGTTGGTGTAAGCCTGTAATCCATGGCCTACACCTTAAGCTGAGGCAGGAGGCTTGCTGTGAGTTCAAGTACAACCTGGGTTACAAAGTGAGTTCAAGGCCAGCCTGAACTGCATGGTAAACCCTGTTAGACCCCCGCCAACCAAAAAAATTCACTTTGTTTTCTTAAGCTCTGATTTTAGTGTATTTTACTTATGTATATCTAGTTCATTTAGTATGCATTGCATGGTTAACAACCAGATACTTAGATGTGAATGTTTTAATTTTAGGTGTCTAGAAAGGAATCTTATTTAAAAAATCTATGAGCATCTTCAATAACCTGATAAATAATGGTTTTGAGTACATATGGAGCTTTTGACCTTTGTTGAAGTATCAGGAAGAACGTCTTTTCAATCTTACTTATTTTACTCTTTTCAAATTTAAAAATAAGAATAATTCATAAATACAGTCTCAAATGAGCGATTTTACAGGATTACTAATTGATCCCCCCCCCAAAGATAAGCCTTAGCTACTTCAGCTCTGTGTTTTCAGACCTTGAACTGTGCATAGCCTTTGCCTACTGTATAATAGGAGAGAAGAGGAGAAGATGTCCCCTGTGTGAGGTTTGAATTTGTTTGCCTGGCATTGATGCTTGCATTTTCTGACAGTGTTCCCTGAGGACTCGTTGCCATTTCAGTGCACATAAACTGCTCAGTGTTAACAAAATTCAGAGTACGGGTGACATATAATTTACTTATGTTAATCCTTAGCCGACTTGGCAAATTATTTTGTTTGAAGTTCTGGGTATTAACAGTGAAGATGAGTCGTGCTGCGCAGGTTATTTATTTATTTTTTTTTTGTCTTTTTCCTTTTTATCGGTACTGGGGATGGAACTCACTACTGCTTGCTTGCAAGGCAGGTGCTTATGCCGCTGAGCTAAATCCCCAGCCCTGCTGCACAGGTTATTAATACTGATTATTTCCTCACAACTATAGGCTTTTCAATTTTATTTTTTTATTTGGTGTCTTTGAGGTAGTGGCTCACTATGCAGAAGGCTGGTCTTGAGCGTACTTTGTAGCTCAGTCTCAAACTCATAGTGATCCTTCTACCTCAGTCTGTCTCTCAAGTGCTGAGATTACAAACATGTGACCCCATGCCTGGCTTACTTACCTAACTTGTTGGTTTTTGTGTTTTGAGACAAGGTCTCCCTACAGAGTTCAGGCTGTCACTGAATTCTCATAACCCATGCAGACCTTAAACTTGTGTTGATCTGCCTCAGCCTTTGGAGTGCTAGGGTTAAAGGCCAGTGCCATCATGCCTGGCCACAGCTTGGTTATTAGTGCTTTAGGGCACATTGAGGGCCTGCCTTCAGCATCTATTTCCTGCTTAGTAATGAATGATTTATGTAGTTTAAGATTCTGTCAGTGAGCCAGCAGCATATCCCAAGATTGGTATAGTTGGGAGATAACATCCTGAACCTTTTTTGGTACTAGAAACCAAACTGAGGACTTTGAGCTTGCCAGGCAGGTGCTGTCCTGCTAAGCTATATCATATCCCTAGCCCACTGGCTTGACTTTCCAGGCTGTTATGGGTAGTGACTTGTAGGATAAATATAGATGTCTCTGTTAATGTCTTACAAAAAATGTTAGCAAATCTCGCCCTCCTGCACTGTAGAGAAGGGATTGTTTCCAGTATCAGATAACTGGGATGTGAATGGGTAGGTCTGGTGCTGATTGTGTTTCCAGAAGGGAAATTATACTTGGTTTTCAGTTACGTAAGTACCAGTCCTAGAAAGGGATATAGCTTAGTGTAAGACGCTGGGCTTAGCCCCCAGATGATGAGACTGGATAAGGATCCACAAGGCCCGTGCTGCTTACCTGTTGTAGACCTGTGGTTTCTGCAAATGTTGAGTTACCATTCACCCATGTTGTGCTTCTGTCCTAGGTGTCAGCTGTACCTGAGGCGTTCTCAGCAGCAGCAGGTTCCTGTGGTGGATTTCCAGGCAGAGCTGAGACAGGTGTTCTTAGCTGAGACACCGAGAGGTGGTTAGGAGCTTTGGAACATTAAGGTAGCTGATTTCCATAAGCATGTTAGAACTCATACCAGAATGATCTGAAATAAATAGAGTTCTGAGGTTTACAGATTTTACTTACTTGGTTTTTAGAGGTCTCAAAGAAGTCCAAGCTGGGTTGTATTTACTGTGTAGCGTAGGCTGGCCTCAAACTCTTGGTAGTTCTCCTGCTTCAGCCTCCTGAGTGTTGGAATTACTCACAGGTAGCACTATACTAGGTAAGGTTTGTTCGAAAATAAAAATTTTTCCTAAAAATCCTAACATCAGCACAGTGAAACAACATAGAACCAAAAGAGTGTCTCTAGTGGCTGGGAATGTAGCTCAGTGGTACAGCGCCTGACTGGCAAACATAAGGTCCTGAATTTGAATTCTCAGTACCAAAGAAAAAGTATCACTGGGCTGAGATGCTTACATCTGGAGTCCCAGCACTCTGGGAGCCTGATGCAGGAGGATCACAGGTGTAGCCTAGCCTAGCCAACTTAGTGCGAGACCTTGCCTTAAAATTAAAAATACAGAAAAGACCTTGTGTGAAGGTTCCTGTGAAGGACCAGGTAGTGTCATGTAATTTGTGTGGAAACTTCCATTTTTTCCCCGGCCTTTTACAAAGTTGTTAATTTTCATTACCTTCAAAAAACAATAACAATATTTGCACCAGCGTTAGCTATTTTAGTTACCGTTCAGTAGGTGTAACACACACTGCGTGTACATAAAACTGTCATTAACAGTGCGTATTAGAGGGTCTAAATGTTTCCTAGACACATTTAATGTCCAGGTTTTTTTGTTGTTCTGGGGTTCAAACTGATGACCTTGTCCTGCCAGGCGGGCCCTTATGCCACTGAGCCAAGTCCCTGGCCCCTGGTTTTTCATTTTATTTTGAAGAGTTAATTTCCTGTTTTCTTTTTCAGTTTTCTGTTTTCAGCAATATATTTATTTTTTGAATTAGCAGATTTAAGTCTCCAAATTTTTCCATGCACTGTAGATTTAGTTTGTAACTTTATCCGGGATTTGTTTATTTAGTTATTATTTTTTATTTTGTTTTTGGTACCAGGGTCTGAATTCATGACTTGGCACTTGCCGGGCAGACTATTAGGGCGCTGAGCTAAATCCCCAGCCCTCATTTACTTATTTGTTTATTTATTTTGGAGACAAGATCTCATTATGTAGTTCAGGCTGGCCTTCTATTTATGGTATGATTCTTCTGCCTCAGCTTTCAGAGTACTGGTATGCCCACCATGCCCAGTTTGATTACTTACATTTTTTAAAGAAAGAGTTACTGAGAAACTGATTTTGATTATATAACTTCTGTTTTATGGCTTTTTTCTATTCAAAGACCAGAGTGCCCTTATTTCTGGCTTTTTAAACATAAATACATATAAAATTATCAGAGATAGGAGGCTTAGCAATATTTTTTTGAAATGTATCCTTCACTCTCAATTAAGACTTTATGAGGAGTATTTTGAGGTTAAATTTTAGAAGACAGGCTTTCTAGGAAATTGTCTTGTAAGTCATATCAATCATTTTTGAGTTGCTACATGGACTTGGTTGTAAACACACAGTGGAATTTGATTACTGGTTTGTAGCTGTTTCCCAGAATTGATAGTTTTTAGTGAGTAGCTGTGTGCATTTGATATTTCTACCCAGGGTTTCTTTGGCTTTTCAGTTCAAATTCTCATACAGTTTAAATACAACATTTAAATTACATATTATCTGCAAGTACCATTACTAGGTCCTGTTTTATTCTCCTCTGAATCTCTGATTTCTGCCTAAATAACAGTCCTTAGAATTTCCTTCAGACAGGAATTGGTAAAGTACTACTTACTTGATTTGTATATATCATTGGTTGGAATATTAGCCCTGGTGGGAATATTTGTATACAACATGAGTACATTGGTGCTGTAATTTTGAGTAGTGGGACAAGTACAACTTTAAATATTTAACATCTTCCTTCAAAGCCGAATTTATTGGCTGTTGTTTTACAGAACCAGTTGCAAAGATAAAGCCAAGGTAGGGCTAGGCATGGTGCAATGCCTATAATAATACCAGCTGTGAAAGTTCAGTTCAGAATACGAAGTAAAAAGAGGGGGGATGTACCTCGTTTCACTCTGGGGCCAATGCTCGGTACTGGAGGTGGTTACACAAAAGCCAAAGAGGATGTACCTGTGTGCTGTAGCAGTTGATGAGGAAAGACGCCCTGGAAAGGGTGCGGGGCTGATGCCTGCCTTTCAGGATGGGAGAGTGATGTAGTCATGGGGTTTGCCTTCGCTACACAGCTAGATGAGCTTTTAGATACTGCAGCAACAGGTAGCTTTCCTTTTTCCTTCAGTATAAAGCACAGAAATACATACAGGAAAGGACACCAGGTTGAACGTCCTTAATTCAAAGGCCAAGATGCATTCAGAACCTGAAACTGTATGTTTACTGTTTTAAGACCAAATGTGGAAAATTGCACACAAGCTTTGTTTCGTGCACAAAACTATTAGAAGATAATTGGTAAAATTACCTGAAGCTGTGTATATAAGATGTATGCAAAACAAAATTTTATTTCATTTATAAAGGAGTCTCATTTTTATCTGGAAAAATTCTCAATCTCAAAATAATATATGAAATAATTTGGGTCCCAAGTGTTTAATTCTGGTATTTGATATCAAAAAACTCAATGAGTACTTGTGCATAGGAGGTAGGGTGCTAATGTGTATTTGACTTTTTCCATTTTTCTCTTTAGTACAACTCTAAGTACTAAGTTATATTACTTTCTAAACATCAAAAAATGGTGCTTATTTTTATTAAATAGAGTTTTTAAGGAACAGTTTTCTTGTGCTTTTATTTTTTTAACTTTTAAAAAATTAATATAAAGAAATAAAAATTACTTATTTTTGGTTCCTGAATTGAACTTAGGACCTTGAAATTTCTATGTTCTGGCCTCCTTCCTTTCCTTTCCTTTGCTTTCCTCTTTCCTTTCCCTTCCCTCTCCTCCCCTCCCCATCATTGATTTGAGACAGGGTGTCACTATAGAGTTGAGGCTGTTCCTGAATGCATTATGAGTGTAGTCCAGGCAGGCCTCAAAATTGGAGAAATTGTGCCTCAGCCTTCTGAGTGCTGGGATTATAGGTGTGGGCCAGCATACCTGGCTCAGTGTTTTTTTGAGACAGGGTCTCACTATAGAGTTCATAATGGCCTTAAATTCACTAAGTAATCCATGCTAGCCTTGAACACACAGCAATCCTCCTGCCTCAGCCTCCCAAGTGGTCGGATTACAAGCATGCATCACCACACCTGGCTTTTTGTGGTTTTAATTGATTTTATTTTATGGATGAGTAATTTAGTTGTATTTTCTCAAGAATATTAATTGGCATATTTTCCTATACTAATTGCTGTATGGCAACCTAAAATTTCAAATCTTTGTACTTTTTGTTTTTGAGCCACAGTCTCATTTTAATGTAGCCTATGTTCTTCAACTCGATGCTCCTGTCTCAGCCTCCTGAGTGCTGGGATTACAGGTGTGCCACCGGGCCTGGATAGCAAATATTAGCAGATTTTAATGGACACATAGTTTTTCCATGATCTTTCTTTTGTTTCATGTGCTTTGGCCAAGAATAATCATGTTTTATTTTGACTGAAGGCAGCTTTTCATTTGAATGCAGTTTAATCATTTGTAAGTTCATACTTAGTAAGAATTTGCAAACATTGGCTTTTGTGTGGGACGGCAGTTGACTTGCTCCTTCGTGTGCTTGGTCTGAGAAAGGCCCACCATGACTGCCATCCATCTGTTCGATGCTGCTGCTCTTCCTGTCCTCTTCCTCCTGCAACGTTTCCTTCTCCTTTATCGTGGAGACAAATTGGTTCCTTCTACAAAATGATTCACTTACTTACTCCCTGTTAAAAAGGGTTCAAAATTGTGGCTTGGCAGGTTAGGGTAAGAGGTAGCTGCTCCTAAATTTCAAATTTACTTAGAGAAATCTCTTTCTACTACTAGAGGAGGTGAACTTGTCTTCCAGAGTGAAATGTATATCTTCTGTATTCTATAAATTGCATTGTGTATGTCTTCATTATTTCTCTTTGCTGGAGCAAAGTACCTGACACTCAAAATTAAAAAGAATGATTTATTTTGGCCCACAGTTTGTAGAGATTTCAGTCCATGATGGGCTGACTCCTGAGACAGGGTTGCACGGCAGAGCGGCGTTGCAGAGGAAGTCAGTGACCTTGCAGGCAGGAAGCAGCAGCCATCAAGGGAAGTGGAGGGATATATAGATATAGATATATAGATATAGATATTTATATATACTCATATCTATATCTATGTATCTTTATCCATATATCTATAAAGCTCCAGGCCACGCCTACAGTGACCCACCTCTTCCCACCCGACTTCATCCTCCAAAATCACCCAGGTACACATCCATCAGTGGACTAACCCTGTGTCACCCGCCCATGACGTCACCTCCTGAAAGCTCCCACCTGTGAGCATGCAGCTTTGCGGACACATCTGATACAAACCATAACGTGTTTTAAAATCAGTACTGGTGTAGTAGACATGTCTGTAGTCCAGATAACTTGTGGAGGAATTTCAGGTTGTACTGGATTGCACATACAGACCCTGTCTGAAAAAAAGTGGTATTAAAGGAAATACCTGTTTTATATTGTGCACCGTTAGCCCACTATTTCATGCCATTATGTTTGATCAAACATTAACACAATTTTAACCTATATTTTTTACTTTATTTTTTTTTCTGTAGTATATATGCATCATTTGAGTTACTTCCATTTTCACAGGGCAAAATACTGTACATTATTTGAAATTTCCTGACGAGCTGACAGTGCTTTTTCTAGCATGTGTGAGTCCCTGGGTTCAGGGTTCCAGTAGGGAGAAAAAATTGCCCAACCATTTTACTTGCTATTTCTTAACTGGTAAACAGTGGATAAAACACATTGCAAGTTTTTGTACGGATAACAGTATAGGTATGTTACTTTAAAAATGATGGTTTTGGAAAGTGTGGAGGTAGACTCCCCAGCACTGATCAGGCTGAGACAGGATCTTTGTGAATTTAAGGCTAACCTAATATACATAGCGAGTTTTAGGCTAGCCTTAAAAGCATAGGGAAACCTGTCTCAGAAAAGCACCACTTTTTATTTTTCTCCTTTTCTGGGTGGTGGGTACGCAATGGAAACTGGTCGCCTCGCCCTCACCTGGAAGGCAGGCAGAGTGCAACTGAGGTGAATCCCCAGCTCCTACTGATTTTATTACTAAACCCAAACTTTGATGTAAACATGGTGCAGTTCACATTCCACTTTACAGTGAGTGAGGGTTTAGCTGCTGAAAACTCTGTATGGTACTAGCTAGATTTTTTTTTACTTGTTCATAATGTTGGATCTTGTAGAGGAAAATTACCTAGTAATCTTTTAAGGTGCTTTAGGGGAAATAACATGCAGTTGTAAGCATGTATGTGGTTAAGGCAAGAAGCAAAATGTTTCAAGCGTACCCCAGTATTGAGATACTGATGTTAAATTTTGCAATCAGAGGACAAAGCTTTTTTGAGTTTCATTATTGAATGTGTGTACAGTGAAGGTGAAGAGAAGCTAATAGTGCAATTTATTAGATCTTGGAGAACTTATGGGAAGGTGTTATGTCTTTTTTTAGAAGTTTTTGTTAACAGTGATTTCTTAAAAAACAACCATTTAAAAAACACGATGGATTGGAGTGCTACTACAACATGCTTTCCTCTGCAGACTCCACCTGCTGTTGGTGACACTTCTGGACACCTTGCATTGTCTAGGAGAACCCGCTTCATACCTTTATAGCTGTCCCCTAGGTACCAAAGCTCCTGAAATTTTATCGTTGACACTGGATTTGGTGAAACGGCAATCATGGTAAGATGTACATTAAGACACAGGTGAAAAGGTGTTTTAGTGGTCCCGAGATAATAGGTGATTTGGAATTGTGAAACTAGTTAGAAATAAGGGAAATCTGGAGAGGTAAACTGCTGATTCCATTTGATAACAAGTAGTGATTGTCATATCTGATAGACTGTTAACATGCTGTTAATACTGGTGAAACAAAAGTGAAAAAGATTCAATGAGAGACTCCAGGAGCTACAAAATACGCCATGGTGTTCTACTGGGTTGAAGTCTGCAGTTCAGGTTAGGATGTGTGCAAGGGCAAGTGTCCTAGAGCAGAACGGTATTAAGGAAGAGAAGGAAAGATGAAAAGCTTTAAAAGGAAGGAGCACAGCTGAGGGGTCTGTATTTGGCAAAGTTAATGACTTGGGAAACACTGCCTGACAGAGGAGGCGAGAGCCTCCTGCGGGGCCACATCTGTTTCAGTACAATTGGTCAGCGAGGAGGGTGCTGGGGTACAGGGTAGAGGAAGACCTGCGTAGCCAAGGGAACATGCTCCTGTGGGTACCAGAACAGGAAAGCAGAGGTGAGAACAGGTGGCTCAGACGTGCCAGTCCATTGCGGCCGCCTTGAATTTGTTTCCAGACAGTGGGCAAGAGCAGCAAGATGCTGCAGCACATCGACTACCGGATGCGGTGCATCCTGCAGGACGGCCGCATCTTCATCGGCACCTTTAAGGCTTTCGACAAGCACATGAATTTGATCCTCTGTGATTGTGATGAGTTCAGGAAGATCAAGTAAGTCCAGTGTGGGTCACAACTGTTGGAGTCAGAGGCAGTGAGCAGCCAAGCCCGTAGCTGACACTGTAAAAGGGTGCTGAGGTTGGGAAATGAGGCTGACAAGTGTTGTCTGAACTCGGCCTCATCCATCCTTAGCAGAGCGAGAACCTAAAAGGCATTGCACTTATTTTTACATTAATTAATTAATTGATTCTTTGGTACCAGGAATTAAATTCAGGACTTTATGCTTGCCAGGCAGCTGCTATGCCACTGAGACATATCCCCACCCTTAATTTATCTTAATTTATCTTAACAGGGTCTCATGTGGTTTAGATTGGCCTTGAACCCACGGTGTAGGTGAGGCTAGAAACAAACTCATGGCAATCTTTTTGCCACAGCCTTCTAAGTGCTGTAATTATAGGTGTGTGCCACCACACCTAGGTGTTCATTTCATTTTTATTTTTTCAGTACCTCTGCAACCACTTTTAATATTTTTTATTTTGCAACATGTTGGTCCTTGCTGAGATTGAACTTGTTCATCTTGTCTCAGCCTGCTCAGGAGTGCTAGGGTTACAGGCAAACCCAATCTCGCTCAGAAGTAATACATTTAAACTATTACATTTTGGAAAAACCAGTCATAGTGTTTAGAAATAGAATTATACACTATTATCAAAATAACTATTAAACATTCATTGGTCACCTGTGTTGATTGAGAAAGAATAATTCTTCTTGATTGACGAGTTATAAGATATTTACCATTTACCATAAGAAACACCAACAGGTGTTTCTCTCCACCTGTTTGAATTCCTTCATTCTGTCTCCTAGCTTTATTGCATGATTTAACAAGTACTCTTTTCATTTTAATACCACTTGCCATTGCAAAAGAAGTTTTGTAATATTGTGTGATACTAACACATTCTTCAAAGGAGTAACTAGGGCTGCGGATTTAGCGCAGTGGTATAAGTGTCTGCCTGGCAAGCGTGAGCTCGTGAGTTCATTCAGTTCCTGGTACCTAAAAAAGAGGCAAAGGAGAAACTAATGTGGAATAGCTTTAATATCTTTGGATATATTTACTTGCTCTAGAGGCTGAAGGGATGGAGCAGCTCTCAATTTTTTATCCAAGAATCTTGTTGCCATGGGTTTTTATCCAAATTGGTATTTCTGGTGGGTCAGTAATCTTGGGATTTTTGAAATGTTACTAAAATTTACTTTTGATTTATAGGCCAAAGAATGCAAAACAGCCAGAACGTGAAGAAAAGCGGGTTTTGGGTCTGGTCTTGCTCCGTGGGGAGAACTTGGTATCCATGACTGTGGAAGGGCCACCCCCTAAAGATGTAAGGAGGATGCAGGGAAGGATGGACATTTTTGTTTTCTTTATTTGTCTTTTGTTTTCAACTGACACATAAAGTACAATAATTTATTATATAGAAATGTGACATCTGGGGTGTCTGAAATAAACAAAAGAAACGGTACAATTTTTATGGGGGGAGTCTTTGAGACAAGGTTTCTCTGGGCAGTTCAGGTAGGCCTTCAACACTTTGTAGCGCAGGGCAGCCTCTTCACTCAGGGATTCTCCTGCCTCAGCCTCCCAAGTGCTAGGATTACAGGTGTGCACCATCATGTCTGGCTCGTGGAATAATTTTGTGAAGTAAAATGTGCCCCAAACTTGATGTCAGGTTGTGGTCACCTATACTTTCAGATTTCAGGGACATTCTGATGAATTTCATATGCTGCCTACCTTCTACATGACCTGGATTAGGGCAGAAGTGCTGATTGTGAAGGTTTGTCCTCACACTTTGGAGATGTGCACATGTTAGTATAGTGTCCTTTTCATTTGAACATAGTGCTAATACGGGGTAGGTGGTATGGGGAGATAGTGGGTACAAGTGATGATAAGAGTCCCGAGAATTTGGAAAACACATTTGGTTTTAAGCTATAAACTTTTTTGTTTCAGACTGGCATTGCTCGGGTACCACTTGCTGGAGCTGCAGGAGGTCCCGGGGTTGGGAGGGCAGCTGGCAGAGGTGTACCAGCTGGTGTACCAATTCCCCAGGCTCCTGCTGGATTAGCAGGCCCTGTTCGAGGAGTAGGGGGTCCATCCCAACAGGTGAGGAACCAGGGGAGGAAATCTTTTGGCAGTGCTGGAGAGTCAACCCAGTGTCTTTATGCTGAAATGCACCCCTAGCCCTTCTTAACTTGGAGACAGGGTCTTGCTCATTACTAAGTGGCTGAGGCTGGGCTTGAACTTGATCCTGCTAACGCAGCCTCTCAGAATGCTGAAGTTATAGGTACGTTTCATCACAGCAAGATCAGGGGAATATTTTTGAAAAGGGAAAATGTGACAAGTGCCCAAGACTGAGGAAATTTTAAAAACTTAAGTATTAATCACACAGTGTTTAATCAGGTGGTACGATGCTTAAAGGAACTGTTAACCAAATACTCGGTTGAAAGAGAATGATCATTGAGTAATTACAGCTATCCTGAGAAGAGGGCGTGATCACTATGGATAGTCATGGCAGAAATTAGAAAGGATAAAAGATAGTAATAGGATTTAAGATACCAAGAGCTTTATTAAATGTATGGAACTAAGGGCTTGGGATGTAGATCACTAATAGTGTTTTTAGTTTGCACAGTCCCCTGGGTTTGTTTCCCAACACTGCAAAAATAAAACGAGTTCAATAAGGGCAACACTGAAGTAGTTACTTAGTATTAAGTAGGGCATAACCACCATGAGTTTTCGGTGCCGCGTTGAAGGTGTGCTTTACCTTTCACTGTCCCGCGTCCGTGTTTTCTCAGGTAATGACTCCACAGGGCAGAGGTACTGTGGCAGCTGCTGCTGTTGCTGCAACTGCCAGCATTGCTGGAGCGCCCACCCAGTACCCACCAGGAAGGGGAACCCCGCCCCCTCCTGTGGGCAGAGCAACCCCTCCTCCAGGTAAAGAACTTACAAACAGGAAGTGTAGTTTATATTTTTGAGAAGTGTATATTGTGATCTTGAGGTAATGGTTGATGATAGTGTGGATAAGGTGAAGGTTCTGATCAAATGCCTAATAGAATTTAGGGACTATATCAGGTAACTTACTTAACCAAATGCTATAGCCTCTTTTGTATTGAGGATGATATACAGAGAAAAACATATCGAAGACACTATATGACCATCTTACTGGTGTTAGGCTGTTTCTTTTAAGCATTTGGACTGAACACTAGCAACTTGTCTTGAGCCCACATGTGAGGCCTTCTTTTTGGCCATTTTTATAGGCATTATGGCTCCTCCACCTGGTATGAGACCACCCATGGGCCCACCTATTGGGCTTCCTCCTGCTAGAGGGACACCCATAGGCATGCCCCCTCCAGGAATGCGACCCCCTCCACCAGGGATTAGAGGTAAGTTCTCCAGGAGCTTCCGGCGGCTTAGCCATACCCTTGAAGATTGATACCCTTTTTATGTAACTGTCTCGTGGATTTTGTTTTCTCCTTTTTAGGTCCACCTCCCCCAGGAATGCGTCCACCAAGACCCTAGGATACTGTTGTTTGAGCTTAGTTATTTTTCCCCCACAGTGCATCTTGTGAAACTGTAGATTGTGAGCTCCCCCCCTTTCTGCATTTAATAACAGCTAAAAATAAATGTGTAGAGCAAGTAAACTGTGAGGCATTGTACATTTTTTCCTTTGCTTTTTTTTCTTTGTTTTGTGTTTTTGAAGATAAAGTAAAAACTTATTTTTATTCTTGGAATAACTTGATGGATTAAATCCTGTTAATGTCATTTCAAATCATTTTCTCAGGAGATAGAATGGTTTTATAATTGTTTCTGCATTCCAACTTTTACATTGTGAAGTGAATGATGTGGGTTAGTAAATTCCTGGAAGACACTGAAAATCCTGACCCAGGAGTTGGAGGGATTGTGTTAACAAAAACACAGCTGTCTACTTCATACTTTATAATACTATTTCAATCTCTGAAGTAATGTGGGGAATGAATGAAGGATCTTTAAGGAGATAAATCTATCTGAGTTGTGGCATGGGCTCTCTGATCATTCAAGCATTTGGAATAGGCATGACTTTTTTTCCTTGGGACATTTGCCTCAGTCGATCACTCCTCCTCTGTGATCAAGGGTGGAAGACGTAAGCCTGGAATGAACAGTTGTACCTATAAGTTAATTTATAAAATACTAAATGAGCAGCAGATGCTGAATATCGGGAGGTACATGGTTGCATATCTGACATAATGGAAGTGTGTTCATTAAAGGTAGCTTTATAGTATAGTTGACCTGCTAAAATTAACATTAAATTGTGTCTAGCTGTTAGCACTAACGAGGTACAACAGGTATTGAGTAGAGTACATAGTCTCTTCAGGGAGTTCCCTGGTGTCTAACTTATTTGAATTGGCTGTGGAATAAGAGTCATTTTTAAAGACAGAATGATAGAAAACCAATGTTAAGAAAGAACTTCTCTGTACTATAGAGTATGTAGAGAGAAATATCAATACAGTGATCAGATTGGGATCAAACTCACAACTGCCTGCTTGCAAGGCAGGCGCTTATGCCGCTGAGCTAAATCTCCAGCCCCTGTATTCTAAACTTTGTGACACTCTGAAATCTAGTCAGTGTGCCTCACAGGATGTCAGGACATTTTATTTTTTTTTACGGAAATTCTTGGTTTGACTGAAAGCTTACAAACTCAAAAAGTTTACAAACCTTGAGTATTGGACTGAGGTAGCAGTAGCTGTTGTTCGAAATTAACCGAAATATTTGGTATTTATCATGACTTACTTTGTATAGTACCTGGTCAGGATACTTATACTGTACCTTTGGAGAGGTACAGTATAAATTTTATTGTATTAGTTTAACTAATTTTTAAGGTATGAGTGGTCCTCATCCTGTTGATAGGTTGGGAAAATTTTTTTTTCAGGAAAAGTGCAGTTTATGAAACAGGGTAAACGATACATAGTTTGTGTCAAGTTCTAGATGACCAGGATGAAAGGGATGAGTTTGTTTTAGAGCATGTAGGAGGTAAGGTAATAGTCCTTTCACATTGAATGTCCTCTCTGTTAGGTGTTACAATCCAGCTTTCTTAATACAATGAGTATTTCTGGGAAGAATATTAGTTCAGACTAAGGGAATTGAGCACATACCACTAAAAGGTGACTATAAAGTATGCAGTAGTCTTGAGTGTGAAATAGCAAAAGGTATGTAAGAGGAAGTGGGCCTCAGTTACTTACCAGTGATAATCATTTGGACATTCAGTGGTTGTAAATCTTCCCTGGTGGGGGGGGCTTCCTTTGATGTTAATGTTACTTGAGTATAGAGGTAGTGTTTAGTGAAAGTGGAGAGAAGTAGAAGATTTTAAGAAGAAAAGGGGATTTGCAGTGTCCGATGACTGGTCCATTCACACGTTAGTTATGTATTTGCGTCACAACCGTGGTTCGGTATTGTATCTGCATTAATGGCCTCATTGACATTTGGAACCAACCAGTTCTGTGACTGCTTCATCAACCAGGATTACATAATAAGACAAATCCACTGTTGTCATTTCACTGATAATTCAAGAGCATCTTTCCTAGGAGGAGATTCAGTGTCAGGGCTCCACCCATAAGAAGAAATCCACCATCTGTTTTATTATGAGATGCTTGCACATTTGGCCACTGCTTCTGATTCTCTTGGATTTTTAACATCTGTATTTGGTTCCAACTCTGAAAGATAGTCTTGTAAACTCTTTAATGTTTTTACCATCCTCACTTAATGTTTTAAATAGCATTTTGGAGGGGCGAATCTAGGAAGTTTTCGATTCACTTTCCCAGTAAATCAGAGAAATCAGTATTGCATATATACATTTACCAGCGTGTATCTCAAATAATAAACTTGAAGTTTGAAATTGTTTTTTGATCCATAGTCTACAAAATGGACATTGTGTTAGCAGGGAGGCAAAAATTTATTCTGTTGCACAGCTCCACCACAGATCTTTGACCTGGTACATTGTCACTGGACTGGAACAGATGTCAACAGAATTTTTAAATATCCTTTTTTATTTTTATTTATTTATATTTCTTTTTGAGATGTGCAGGTCAGTCTGTTTGTCAACAGAATTTTTAAATATCCTTTTTTATTTTTATTTATTTATATTTCTTTTTGAGATGTGCAGGTCAGTCTGTTTGTAGCCAGGGCTGGTCTTGAACTTGGAATGATCCTCCTCCCTCGTGTCTCAGCCTTCAGTGCTGGGATTATAATAGAAGTGTGCCAACATGGCCTGGCTTAAATAGCCTTTTTAAAATGACATTATCAGCAAGTGGTGCCATCTACTTCTGTTAACAAGAATATAGAAAGTGGATTTTTGAAGGGCCCTCGGATGGTTGGTTTTAACTCTCTACTCTGACAGGAAACTTAAACGTGTCTCTCGAGGTTTTGATGCCAAGCATTGACATTGTATCAAGCGGTAGGAAGAAGTCTGGGCATGCTTCTCTGTTTTTCGAGATGGTTTAGTGGTCTGTGTAGCTCAGCATGGCCTGAAGCACTCAGGGGCCCTCCTGCCTCAGTAGTCTCCAGGTGCTGGGACTACAGGTGAGCGCCATTGTGCCTGCCTGGCTGGGTAAGTGCTGCTTCCACACTGCAGGTGGTATTCACTGTTGTGTGTGGTCACCCGCCTTGGCTAGGTCTTCAGGACTCTCCTGCCACATCAGTTTTAATGCTTGTTAGTTCACATCAGACTAACGTGACTGCTTTTTCTTATGCCTCACACACCAACTTTGTAAGCTTGAATATTTTTTTCCTGTGGCTTCCTTCATAGGCTTTACAGGAGTAAATAGAAGCAGCACTAGCTGAGGATTCGACTTAGTTTTTGGTGCTTGAACTCAGGATCTTGTGCTTGCCAGGCAGGTGCTATGCCACTGAGCTGTGGTTCCCAGACCCTTGACTTAGTTTTTAAGGGAATTAGTTGGCATACTCGATCTATTTAGACCGTAACAGGTTCTCTGTATCACTGATAAATCTCTTCTGCCTTAGAATGTGTGTTCCTTGTAGTCCTAATTTGCTTCAGGCAGTTCCTTTGTAGACACTACTTAGTTAAATTGTACAAAAGACCTAACTTGATTTTTGATATATTTCAGTTACTAAAAGATTAGTTATTTTTAGTGTTTGATTTAAATTGGCAGGCCTGAAGCTTATTATTTGATTTGAATACTTAGTGGTCATTGTAGGGTCAGTGCTTGAGTAAAGTTGTATACTCTAACATAGGGTAAGAACAGGAAGTCATGGATGAACAATTGGTCAGTGGAACTGTTATGAAACAGAGCATTTAAATCTCAGTTATCACTCACTGTTAGCATTGTGTATATATAGATTGGCTGGATGCAAAGTGTACACATGTTGTCTACTTGTCTTTGATTTAAAAATTGTGAAGCCAAATAGAAATAGTCAGAAGAAGAAGCCTGAAGCTTGTCTGGAATTACTTGCTTTGCTGAGCAAGGTTAAACTGGGGTGGTATAAATGAGATGTTTACTAACTGCAATGTTGTGTACTGGTCACAGAAGTGCTTTGATAATTTTTGATTTCCAAAAGACAGTATTTTAAGCTGTGAGTGGTGGCAAATAGCTGTAATTCAGGACCCTTTTTTTTGTCTTTTTCCTTTTTATTGGTACCAGAGATCAAACTCAAGACTGCCTGCTTGCAAGGCAGGCGCTTATGCCGCTGAGCTAAATCTCCAGCCCCATCCAGGACTCTTTTAAACAGACTAAAAACCCATGGTTCAACTCATTGGCCCTTAAAAAAAATAAAAAATTGAAAGAGCAAAATGGACAACATGACCATATGGATTTGAACCCCAAATTATATGTGTATGCTAAACCTATTACTATAAAAGTACAATATGTGCTGTATGTCTATTTTTTGACAGAATTTTGTTTAACTAGCATAGAAAGATAAGGTAATTCAAAGGACTTAGGTTTATTTGATGCAAGACAGTTTTTAGTAAGATGTTTACCTTCCTCTACAGAATTTTTCATAAAGTTGAGGTAGTTGCTGTACCACTTTTGTTCTATACATCACATGTTGCGGATAATTAAGACCTCCTTGAAGACAATTTTGTTTAGCTTTCTGCTTTAATCGTTGAGCTTACCCTGATTTTTGTGTCCTTAATCCTCATCCTCAATTCTTCTATATTATCTACTAGGCTTAACTATGGAATATTTTGATGGTGTTTGAACTTTAATTATAATGCATAAATTGGTTTATACTTATTGGGAAGCATAACAAATTTTTTTGGTCTTTTTTGATATTGAACGTCTGTTGAACTGATTCTGAGCTATGCAGTTGATGGCTTTGAGCCCACTTTGTAGCTGAGGCTGGTCTCAGACTAACTGCCTCAGTGTCCAGTGTGCAGAGATTACAGGCATGCATTACCATGCCTGGCTAAGAATAACAAGTTTTTGATACTGTGGCTCACTAAGGTAAAATTTCAGTGTGTTGAACAGTTGCCTTATTGAGTCTTGTGTCTGTCTGGTTTTCTTCATGCTTATATTTTGTTATTAATGATTTCCTCTAGTTTTTCCATGAAATTACATTGTTGGTGTTTTATATGGTTTGTACAAAGCTGAGAACTATTGTTTTATGGCTGCAGGAATTCAAAGGATGGAGCTACACTATCTGGATATCTTAGGAGTATCCAAGGGTAGAGCTGCACTATCTATGGGTATCTTCATTTTAGGAATATCCACAGGTAGAACTACACTATCTATGGGTATCTTTTATGTAGGAGTATCCCAAGTGTAGAACTATACTATCTATGGGTATCTTTTATTTCGGAATATCTAAGGGTAGAGCTACTCTGTTTGTGGATATCTTTTATTTAGAAGTATCCAAGAGTAGAGCTACACTGTCCATGGATCTCTTTTTGTGTGAGTGTCCAAGGGTAGAGCTACACTATCTATGGGTATGTTTTATATAGGAGTTTCCAAGGTTAGAGCTATACTATCTTTGGGTATCTTTTATGTAGGAGTAACCACGGGTAGAGCTACACTATCAATGGGTTATCTATGTGTAGGTATCTTTCATGTAGAAGTATCCAAGGGTAGATCCATGCTCTCTATACGTACATATTATGTAGGAGTGTTTAAGCGTAGAGCTATACTATCGATGAGTATCTTATGTAGGAGTATTCAAGGGTAGATATGTACTGTCTGTGGTTGTCTTTTATGTAGAAGTATGCAAGGATAGAGCTACACAATGTATAGTTGAGTATATTTTATGTAGAAGTTTCCAAGACTAGAGATACACTGTCAATGGGTATCTTTTAAATAGGAGGATCCAAAGGTAGAGCTACACTATCAATGGGTACTTTTTATTTTGTGCAGTATCCAATAATAGAAGTATACTGTCAAAGTATATCTTTTGTTTCGGTGTATCCAAGGATAGAGCTAAACTATGGTTATCTTTTACATAGGAGTATGCAAGGGTAGAGCTCCACTATCTACAGGTATCTTTTGTATTTTATGTAGGAGTATCCAAAGGTAGAACTAAACTATCTATGGGTATCTTGTATTATTATTGGTACTCAGGTTCACCCCTGGACCTTCTGCTTATTGAACATTCAGGGTTACAGTACCCCATGCCTCTTACTGCATCATTTTTTGGTCCTACTTGTTGGGAAAAACCTTGTGGAAGACCTTGGTTGGACTGATGATGAGCTTTGTGTACTGAGTGTGAATGAACATGAGGTTCACTGTGATTACTCTGAAGTTCAGCCTAAGTGTCTAATTATGTATACAGGACAGAGATGTCTTTACCAAATGAAAAAGGTTTTTCTCATCAGTTACGTAAGAGCAATGGGGCTGTAGAATATTAGGTATAGATTGGTAAGGTTCCCTTCCATTATCTTCTTTGCATTGATAATATTGACAGATCTCACATTGGCTTTTCCCCTGAGCATTTCAGATGATAAATTCAAGAGAAGAAAAACCTGGCAGCCACCATACATTTCCCTCAAGATTTATTAGTGAGCTTGCACCTTCTTGGAGAGTTTCCTGAGCAGCCCTTGATGAGTTAATTTTTTGTGTCTTAGTCATAGATGTATAGTTTTATGTCTCATCCCACATTATTTATTTTTGCTTGTGTTAGTGATGTCTTTTTATTATCCACCAGTGTTCTCTGATTAGAAGCTCAAATAGATAAATCTTGCTGAAACTGTGTGCTATGGACAGTTCATTTTCTTTCTGCAGACTAAAACTAGGGCATTAACTTTGTTCTACATCCCTAGCTCTTTTTACTTTTATATTTATTTATTTATTTATTTACCTCCTTATTTATTTACTTCCTTACTTATTTACCTCCTGATTTATTTACCTCCTTATTTATTTAACTCCTTAATTGTTTACCTGCTTATTCACCTCCTTATCTATTTATGTCCTTATTTATTTACCTCCTTATTTATTTACGTCCTTATTTATTTAACTCCTTAATTGTTTACCTGCTTATTTATTCACCTCCTTATCTATTTATGTCCTTAGTTGTTTACCTCCTGATTTATTTACCTCCTAATTTATTTACCTCAATTGTTTACCTCCTCAATTGTTTACCTCCTCAATTGTTTACCTCCTCAATTGTTTACCTCCTCAATTGTTTACCTCCTCAATTGTTTACCTCCTCAATTGTTTACCTCCTTAACTGTTTACCTCATTAATTGTTTACCTCATTTTTTACCTCATTTTTTTTTACCTCATTTATTTACCTCATTTTTTTACTTATTTATTCCTTATTTATTTACCTGCTTAATTATTTAACTCCTTATTTATTTACCTACATATTTATTTACCTCCTTATTTATTTACCTACGTATTTATTTACCTCCTTATTTATTTACCTACGTATTTATTTACCTCCTTATTTATTTACCTCCTTATTTATTTACCTACGTATTTATTTACCTCCTTATTTATTTACCTACGTATTTATTTACCTCCTTATTTATTTACCTACGTATTTATTTACCTCCTTATTTATTTACCTACGTATTTATTTACCTCCTTATTTATTTACCTCCTTATTTATTTACCTCCTTATTTATTTACCTACGTATTTATTTACCTCCTTATTTATTTACCTCCTTATTTATTTACCTCCTTATTTATTTACCTCCTTATTTATTTACCTCCTTATTTATTTACCTACGTATTTATTTACCTCCTTATTTATTTACCTACGTATTTATTTACCTCCTTATTTATTTACCTCCTTATTTATTTACCTACGTATTTATTTACCTCCTTATTTATTTATCTATTTATTTACCTACATATTTATTTATCTATTTACCTACATATTTATTTATCTCCTTATTTATTTACCTACGTATTTATTTACCTCCTTATTTATTTACCTACATATTTATTTATCTCCTTATTTATTTACCTTCGTATTTATTTATCTCCTTATTTGTTTACATATTTATTTACTTACTGGCTGTCTCCAAGTTAACCCAGCCATGTTTCAAACTTCCTTAAGTCTTCCAGCTTCGGCCTCCTTTAAGTCTTCCAGCTTCGGCCTCTCTGAGTTGTAGGGTAATAGGTGTGTGTCTTCACGCCCTGACAATTGTATATATTAAGTAAGATCTTATTCTTCACCTTAGTGCAGATGAATGTTTGTGTGTGTGTGTAAGAATATGTAGAAAGATGTGTGTGTATACATATGTATATATAGATGCCTTGTGTGTGTATATATGTATATACAGGTCTATTTTGCTTATGTGTATATATGTATATACCGGTCTATTTTGTGTATGCGTATATATGTATATACAGGTAAATTTTGTGTGTGTGATGAATGATGTTTGTGTTAATACTGCGATACATGACTGAAGTGTCATGCAAACTTGTCGGGGTTCCAAGAAAACATTGATTTAGAAGTTATGTAGATGACTATAGTTTTTTACCTTATTGAATCCTTGTTTTCTTGTAATATTTGTAACCTTCCATTATTTATCTCTGGATGGCACTGTTTAAATTTTTTAACAAATGTGTCATGCAGTTGAGGCTACCAAATGAGCTCACAGGTGACCTGAACTGCAAAGCAACACCCTGTCTAAAAAAAAAAAAAAAAAAAAAAAAAACCAAACAAACAAAAAAACCAAAAAAAAAAAAAAAAACAAACCAAAAAACAAAACAAAACAAAAAAAAACTGCAGTCGTGTGTGCAAGAAGTGAGTGAAGTTCAGTTGAGTTGCAGTGTTAACAAAGGTTCTTTGGCTTTTGGATGTTTTATGGAACATAGAACCATCTGTTAACTGATGGGTTGAAATACCTCTTTGTATGATAATTCTTTATCGATCTATCTGTCTGTCTGTATTTATTTATTTTTTATGATACTAGATGGTCCTGTGTATTCTACATTGTGAGCCTCCTCCCTTTGGGGTGCTGAGATTATAGATGTGCACCACCATGACTGGCTGGTAACTTTTTAAAGATGATTTGGATAAAGTTTCCTGTAAATACAAATCTTCAGAGATAAGCAGTAGCTGATGTGGTATTGGGACTCATTCTTTCTTGCACCCAAAGACAATGTCCATCTTTGGAAAGGCAGTCATTGGCCAAGTGACATTAATTCATGATAGAAGTGATGTGCTGAGTAGAATATAAAGTGTCAGTGAGACTGAGGGGCAAGTTGGTAAGGGGAAGAAGCGAAAAATAATCCAAGTTCTCAGTGATTAAACACACTCTTAAATTAGTTAAAAGGTAGTATCTTCAGAGTAATGCCAGGATTGTTCCAATTATTCCCAATCAGAAAACTTAGTACTATTTGTATGTTGGAACATTTTTGGGTCCGTGGAGTCAGAATTATCTTGCATCTTTTTTTTCTTGCTTTTTTTCCCTCAGCTGTCCTCTGTATTTTTACCTTTTATTTTATGATTACATGTTTACAAAATAGTTTGTTCAGGAGGTGGCAACTGTACAAAACATATCAGTTACCTTTTGTATCTCAGGTTTTGTGCACATTCTAATGCTTCCCATAAAGATCATATTTTATGTTTGGAATATTATTAGCAAACCATTTTAATCAAATGTCAGTTTTTGCTCTGGTTGTTAGAATGAATAAAGAGCTATCTTTCTAGGCTGCTTTTGTTGAATTGGTGGTTTTCAAGACTTTAAGGCTATATCCAAATAACTTGTAAGGCTTGTTAAAATGCATATCTGCTTCTCCTGACTTAATTAAGAGTAGATCTGGGTTTTATCAGTAGTTGAGAATTGTTTTGATCATTTTCAGTGCAAATCACAGAAAGTATTACTGTGTTAGCGTTAGGAGCTTTTTAAGATCTGAATACCAGCAAGTCTGAGTTCATTTGTGCATGTTAGCAGCTGTGATCTTTTAATTCCATTAGGTTTTCAGCAACTAGTATTAATCTTGAGGCCCCTTGGCCAGTCATGCCCCGGTCACCAGGAACCAGAGCTCGTATTTCTCTGCAACTCTTTCCAGCAGTTCTTGCCATCATCTAGCTAATTCTCTCTGGCTGATAATTTTCAGGTGGCAGCTCTTATTATTACTGCAATCAGGTTCTTCTGTTCAATATCTAATAGACTGTGGATTAGACAAAATCATGTGATCAAGACTTAGAGAATTGGTGGAGTAGCCAAAAATGCCCAAGAGTAGGTCAGAAGGATGCTGTTTATATAGAGAAAAATGTGAATCAGTACATGTGCATAATTTCTGCTGATCATAAATTTGCACTGGTCATGCTGATCTGCTGCTGTGACTGTTATCATGAGGGATCTCTTAAATGTTGGTAGGAAACATCTGAAGCAGGTGTGTGTCAGGTGGGCACATAGCAGCTCTGAGGTGTGGTTACTTGGAGTACCGTTGGGCTGAGGTGCAGTCTCTGGGAGCCATCAGAAGTATGAGATGGTCTGTTGACTGACTTGTTCTAGGTGACAACTGCCGCTGGATAAAGCTCTCTGGATCAGACTTTACTGTTGTGGAACTGGCTGAAAGGGTTTTTGTTACATCCAAAAAAAAGGCAAAAGAAATGTGGTTGCCATGTTAACTGTAAAACCTGTGGCTCTTAAGTCCTTCCCAAGGTCACAGTGTGGGCACCAGAACTTGTATCCGTGGTGATCACAATTGGGCACAGAACCAGTGTGCATGGCAGCATTTGAGCCCCTGCTTGGCCCTGTCTCCAGCAGCTTGTGTGTGGCAGCCCTGGCTTCTTGAAATGCAAACGGAGGCCTATATTAGGTCCCTCCCAGCACTCAGGAGGCCAAGGCAGCAGCATACCAGTTCTGAGGCATCTTTAGCTTAGTAAGCGAGTCCAAGCCTAACTTGCACCCCATAGTTAGACCCTGTCTCACAAAACAAAGAAAAAAACACAAAAGATTTATTTTCCTAACACCAAAAAACCCCCAAAATTTATTTTCTTAACAGTGAAGCATCCATACCAATTCTGAATTCAAGTTTGACTTAAATGCAGACAATTGCAAAGTAAGAATAATTAAGCCACTGAAGATGAAAATGATTAAAACCTCAGAAATCAATAAACTCATCAGAAATGTTTTAGTGCATTATATACCTTAATTATTTCTTTCATACAGTATTTTTATTTTTTTCCATACTTAAAAAAATTGTTGTATGACCATCTACTTTGAGCATTTTGACATTTTTATGGTGTGTAATGATTAAGTCAGAATGGTTAGGACCACTTCATATTGTTTGTAGACACAAGGGCTTTCTAGTGCATATAAACTTCAGATATCATTGCAG